TGGTCTAGCCAATCATTATGTTTTTATCCTCCTGGTAAATAACTGGTTAAGACAGAGGCATGTAAAACAATTTGGACTAACTAGATGCAAGGAATCGGATGGATGATTTCTAGAAAAAATTCTGTGGCTGCTGGATATCACCACTTCTGAATATAATCCCTGGAATTACACTTATTTCTGAATGATGAGAATATGGTGATTTTTCTGAATGATGAGAATATGGTGATTTTTATTTTCTCTTTGTACTTATCTTCCCTCCCCCCCAAATTCCACAAAAAGCAGTTTCTGTTTCTGCAAAATATAAAATTTTTAAAAAGCATGAGAAGATGTTTGAGTCTGGTACTGGTCATGATGGAGTAATAGGAAGAGGACTCACCTTCCCACTGGATAAAAAAGAGAAAACAAAAAACCCCTCAAAAATGGACAAAGCATGTGAAGGAATGTTTTTAGATACTAGATGACAGTCAGTGCAAGACTGTGATCTCGGAAAGAAAGAAAACCAACCAGGGAAGCATACCCAGAGGCAGTTTCCAGGCTGTGATGCAAAGCGGGCATATGGAGGGAATCCAAACAAAACATGGCCATCTGAGTTGAAAAGTCCAAGACTATGGTCCAGAATGCCAAGGCAACCAGTATTTTCAGGGCCAAATACCACAGTGGTGGAAGCTACAAATGAGAGGACTCAGGAAAACTGCAGAAAGGTCCCACTGAATACTTGGCTGAGTACTAATCTGAGCATGTCTGAGAAGAAACTACCAAGACTGGGGAAAGTACCACCAGAAATAAACAGGCTGAATAATTTATGGAGCTTTTACAGAGATGGGCATATTTTGTATTCCCACCAGCCAGAACTGAAAGGTCTCCAGATACCTGGGACATCAGGTAGAATCCTTTGAAAGGCGTTGCTTTAGATTTGGGGTTAATAAGACCTACATAAAAAGTGGCTCTGGACCCGATGTAAACTTAACAGCAAGTCCTTGAAAGATTCCAATCAATCCCATGTAATGTAAATGCAGGTCACAACAAAATCTAACACTATTTAAAGGAATATAACAAAATACAGCACCAATGACATAAAATTTAACATGTCAGGCATCAGAGCTTCCCCAGGTGGTCTCCCCAAAAAAGCTGATTTGGGTTTCCTCACGTCATGGAGGCCTCAAGGTAGGGGGACTTCTCAGGCAGCAGCTAACTAAGGTGATGACAGCTGCACTGCCTTTTATGATGTAGCCACCCAAGTCACAAAGGCCACTTCTGCCACATTCTGTTGGTTATAATCAAGTCACAAACTTGCCCAGATTCAAGAAAAGGGGAGTTAATGTCCTATCTTAATAAGGTAGTGTGAAGATTCTAGACAAAGATGTATCTATTGCTGTAGACCTCGTTGAACAATGTAATCTGCCTTGTAGATCTGAGTCAGCATCGAGTATTGCCCTTCAACTGGAAAAACTACCTTTTAAATGAGTTGTAGTGCAAACCTGGTAAACAAATTTTCTTAACTTCTCTTTATGTGAAATGGCTTTATCTAATCTTGATTTGTGAAGGATATGTTTTACAAGACATAGAGTTTTAGGTTCACAGGCCTTTTTTGTTTTTCTTTCCTTTCAATACTTTGAAGACATTCTATTGCCTTCCGGTTGCACTGTTTTTGATAAGAAGCAGTCATTTTTATCATGGCCTTTCATTATATAATGTGTCTTTTCTTCTTGGATGCTTTTAAGATTTTCTCTTTTATTTATTTTTATTTTTTAGCAATCTGACCATAATGTACTTCGGTGTGGCTCTGTGTTTATCCTGCTTAAGATTCATTGAGCTTTTTGAATCAATGGGTTAATGCTTTTTATCAAAGCCGGAAAAAAATTCAGCTACAGTTTAAAGTGTTAAATATATCTATATGCAGATTTTTAAAGGCCCTGTCTGTTGTTTTCCACATTTCTGTTACCAGTGGGCCTATTTCTATTGCCTGTTTTTTCTTGTTATGGGTCACATTTTCCTGTTTCTTTGCATGTCAAATCTTAGCTTTTTGCTGTGAAATTTTTGAGGCTATGTGGTTAAGAGTCTTAAATTTTTTGTGTGTTCCTCTTCCTTCAAAGACAGTTGAGTTTTGTTTTGGCAGGCAATTATTTTATTGGTAGATCACCTTTATCTTGTTAAGAATCATTATTAGGCTTTGTTAGGGTGGATCAAGATTGGCTCTTACTCTAGAGCTTGAGTACTCTTAGGGCCTAACTTTTTGGGGTCTTACTGAATGTACAGGATGATTAGCTGGTCTCTCAACTTTGGTTGGTCAGGATTCCAATGTCTCTTAGCACTCTATGACCTCTGGCATTCCTATTCAACTCACAGATCCTCAGTAGCTGTTCTCTGCCAGGCCTCACAGGATTTTACCCTGCACATGGCAACTTAGTTTTTGACCAAAGACTCAAGGGCTCTCCGATGTAGACCTCTAGAGCTAAACAATTCCTTGCTCCCTCGTATCTTGCCCCACAAATCCCAGCTGCCTCACCAGCCCTTGGGCCAATCTCTGTTTCTTGTTTTGTTTTGTTTTGTTTTGTTTCTGTGTAAAACCCTGCTTTTGATTTGGGCTCTACTTTCTGTGCAGCTGTTTGGATAGTCCCCCCAGACAGAAAACAAGAGTGAATGTCAAGTTTACCTTATGCATTTCTCCTTTCTGAAAGATCACAACTTTGTGCTGTCTACTGCCAAATACATGAAAAGAATTGCTTTATACAGTTTATCCAGTTTTACAGTTGTTTATGGCAGAAACAACGTTGATACCTGTTATTCTGTGGTGACTGAAACTGGAAGTCTCCAGTAAGTAATTAATTAAGAACAGCATAGTCAATAAACCTTAATTTCTAGCCATCAAAAGTCAACCAAGGGAAACCAACAGGCAGTAAAAATTAAAAAATGGGGAAGAAGTATTAGCACACTTTTAGAATTTTCCACTGATTTTCTTCGAATCAGAAAAAAAAAATTCAAGTTGTCATAGCATTTTTGTTCATTTTCATTTCTCACTGACAGCACAATGAACACCAGAACACTCTTTATTTCTTCTTTCTCTTTCCTAAACAGTACTAATTTTGTGTTCAACTCCAAGGGGATGATTCATGATGAATCAACTATCCCGATAACGATGGTCCTCTGTCACTTTGCCAGATAATCTCGTGGCTTCCCTTAGAGCTGAAGGTGACCACGTAACTGCTCTATTACCAATGAGGCAGACAGGGAAGTTTGTTAGGGGTCTCCTGAAAAGGTCTTAATTTTCTTAATAAAAGGAATAAGTGAGAATGGCCTCTTTTTTTCCTGTCTTGAATGTTAAGTCTCCTCCTCTTCTTTTTTCTAATTGAAGTATAGCTGACATACAATATTATATTAGTTTCAAGTGTACAACATAGTGATTTGACAATTATATCATCACAAAATGCTCACCACAAGTGAGCCACCATACAAAGTTATTACAGTATTGACTATACTCCCTAAGCTCTAATTTTCACCTCTGCCACTTTATTTTTTAAATAGAATTTTGTACCTCTTAATCTCCATCACCTATTTTGTCCATCTCCCACCCTCCCTCTGGCAATCACCAGTTTTTCTGTATTTATGAGTCTATTTCTGGGAGTTTTTTAGATTACACATTTAAGTGAACGTATGTTATTTGCCTTTTTCTTTCTGACTTATTTCACTTAGCACAATACTCTCTAGATCCATCCATGTTGTTGTGAATGGCAAGATTTCATTCTTTTTATGGCTGAATAATATTCCATTGTAGATATATATCACATCTTCTTTCTCCACTCATCTCTCTGTGGACACTTAGGTTGTTTCCATATTTTGGCTATTGTAAGTAATGCTACAATAAACATAGGGGTGCATAGATCTTTTCAGATTAGTGTTTCTGTTTTCTTTGGGTAAATACTTAGAAGCGGAATTACTGGGTCATGTGGCATTTCTGTTTTTATTTTTTTGAGGGAACGTGAGTCTCTTCTGACTATAATATATCTGTGAGAAGGAATAGTATGTACGAAGAGGAAAAGTCCACACTCTTAAGTATGGCAGAGGAGCGGGAGCAAAAGAGCCTGGGTCCTCTAAATACCATATAATTTCACTCATTTGTGGAATTTAAAAAACAAAACAAATGAATAAACAAACAAAAAGCAGAATCAGACCTCTAAATACAGAGAACAAACTGCTGGGTGCCAGCGGGAGAAGGGGTGGGGGAATGGGCAAAGGGTGAAGGGGAGTGGGAGATACAGGCTTCCAGTTAAGGAATGCATAAGTCACGGGAATAAAAGGCACAGCATAGGAATACAGTCAACAATACTGTAATAGTAGTGCATGCTGCAGATGGGAGCTGCGCTTGGGAGCAAGCAAGGTATAGAGAAGGTGAATCAGTATGTTGAACACCTGAAAGTATCGTAACATTGTGTCAACTCTACTAAAAAAAAAAAAATAGCCCAACCCCTTGATGACACCACTGAGCAACTAAATCAATAAAGCAACTCTCTAAGAAAAATAAAACCTATTTTTTAAACCACTCTGTCTAAAATTTTCTGTTTCTACCTGTAATAGAAAGCATCTCTGACTGATAAATGCACACACATTTGTTCTTTAGATGAAGAAGAGTTTGCAGGTAAGATGTAGAAATAGTTTAAAAAAAAAAAAGTGGCTGGGAACTGCGTTCTTTTGAAGTCTTTGGACGAATCAGGTTTTCTTTGGTGTGTATGAAATGCATGTCTGTCTTCTATCCCCCTCTAGACTGCACACTTGTTTAAGTGACCAGAGATCTCTGTTCTAATAGGGGCCTAGGCACCTCTGGGTGCTCAAATGAGTTTGCTGATGGACTATTTCTACACACCCTTCAAATTGTCTCTGGCATCCAGGTATTCGTCAACTCCATCGGGAACAAAGACCTCACAGACCTAAACTTATTTTTTTTCATAGAAGGGAGTACACACTCAGGTAAAACAAACAAGCAAAGGGATGGCTCCCTGTCTTACGTTCACATTCTCTGACATCCAAGTTGAACTGCTGTAATGCTCCCAGGGTGAGCTGCCTTACTTCAGCTTCCAGCAAAAGTTGCATCAAGGATGTGGCTAAGTGCTTGCAAGCTGACATACATGCTGTTTGGGCCACTTTTCCCTGAAATATAAGAGTGTAAATCATCATGTTAATGGACCAAAATGAAATTCCAACAAAAATTACAAGAATTTATTTTTCAATTAGGAATTCCTTTAAGTTTTTTCATGGTATCCTCGGCATTCAATAATCTTGGATTAATAGTGCCTGGTGGCAATCATCTTAAATACTACCTTCATCACCATGAGTTATATAGCTATAACATGAAACTAAAATTCGTAAAGCCCAGCTATTTATTCAAGAAGCACTTTTTTCCCAAATCAACAATAGATAAACAGTATTCTTTTCTTCCTTTTTTTTTTATTATGTTCAGTTAGTGGAACATGTAGTACATCATTAGTTTTTGATGTAGTGTTCAACGATTCATTAGTTGTGTAAAACACCCAGTGCTCATCACAACACGTGCCCTCCTTAATACCCATCACCCAGCTACCCCATCCTCCCAACCCCCTCCCTTCTGTAACCCTGTTTGTTTCCTGGAGTCCAGAGTCTCTCATGGTTTGTCTCCAAAATCTTGTTCTTTTTTTAAAGATTTTATTTATTTGACAGAGAGACACAACGAGAGAGAGAACACAAGCAGGGGGAGTGGGAGAGGGAGAGGGAGAAGCAGGCTTCCCGTGGAGCAGGGAGCCAAGCCGGGGCGGAGGGTGGGGGGGGGGGGCCTTGATCCCAGGACCCTGGGATCATGATCTGAGCCGAAGGCAGATGCTTAACGACTGAGCCACCCAGGTAGCCCTCCGAAATCTTAATTAAACTAAAAAGGAATTTTTCTGTAGAGAATAAATTTCAAAAAGTCCCTTCCAAAATTTCTATAATTCTTAAAAAACAAATGTAAACACCACTCATTCCTTAATTTATCTAGAAACCAAAGGGCTTTATGATTTAACACATAAAAAATGAAAAGAACTATGAAAATTTCCTGAAAAAGAATAATTAAAAGGATGAATTTTGTTTTTTTAAAAAAAATGAACACTGAGGGGTGCCTGCCTGGCTCAGTTGGTGGAGGATGTGACTCTTGATCTCGGGGTTGTGAGTTCAAGCCCCATATTGGGTGTAGAGATTACTTAAAAAAATAAAATAAAATCTTAAAAAAAAGTGTTCCTCATCTATACGGTTCTGTTTGTATGTTCCGAAGATCCACACTCTGGATGATTTAAGACAACAAATGGAAATACTTAAGTTAGGGAGTACTATACAGGCCAACTGAGAAAGAAGCTGCATTATAAATGAAATCCACATTAAATGGCTTGCATTCAGTTAAACCCACTGGAGACCGGGAACAGGTAGCACACCAAGGAGCCAGAAAGTTCACCAGTTACAGGCTCTGGGTGAACAATCAGAGGGGGCAGATCAAAGACGTGAGAAGCCTTGTCTGTGGCTTTTCAACAGTGAGAGCTGGAGTGGAGTGAAGGAATAAGGATAAGCCTAAAGCAGATGCCCAGAAACAGCAGTGCAGAGCAGAGGCCAGAGAAAAGGGTAAGAAACTACCTCTTGGGCATTAACCATATGCCCAAAATGTGCTACACTTAAGCAGCTGACATCTTATGCTGTTTCATCTTATTCTCTGAATCACAGCAAGAAGTTGATATTCTTTTTTCTTGTAGATGAATACACTAAGGCTTTCTGGGAAGTTCAGAAATTTAGACAAAACTCATACAGCTCTTTGGTATATCTACCTAGTCCTAAATCTGTATCTTTCCATCACCTAAAAAGCAGTAGTAAATCTTACACTGTCTGACACGGAACCATGGAGCAAAACCTGGTCCAGATGATAACAACGTTAATGGATTATCCAAGACATAGACTAGGCCCACACAGGTAAGAGAGTGGCAGTTCAGGAGCCAACTCTTCAAATACTGAGTATTGGCTGTGGCTTTCTTTTTAATGTGTAGCCCAACATAATTATCTAGGCCAAGACAGATACTTAAAGAACCCGACAAGCTGAACATGGAGATGTTGTGAAAATCAAAGAGCTAAAAGCCCAGTGAAGCTAGAGGCTGAAGAAGATAGTACTTGAAAGGCTTGTTTCAGCAGCCAAAATAGATTGCCAAGGAAAAGCAAAACTGGACTGGTAAAATAAAAATAAGATAGCTTAGCTTAGAGTCAGAAAGTCTCAATTTTTATTCTCCACCACTTATTGACTGTGCAATGTTAGTTGATCTTCCTGACTCATTACTCATCTCAAAATAGCAAATGGCTTATTAACCTTAACATATTAACATGAAACATAGCCTTGGCTTTCAAGTCCCGATCAATATATATCAATCAATAAAGCCAAATGCACTTATACATGATCATGCATTGTACTACTCTTAACATACTGAGTTATTTAACTGCCCTCCAATTACTTTATACCCTACTTCCCCTCAAGCTTATTATTTATTTCCAAACAAAATGATAATTGCAGAAATGAATGTGTTCATTGTTAAATATTTTGCCAACTCTAGAAAGCATTTTGGAACTTTGCTAATTCACAGTTTGCTACCCATTCCCCTTTTCACTTCTGGTTTCCATTACCACCAAGGTGTCCATAGGCTTTTTAAGAAAGGATAAACACAGACTCAGGCAATAACAACCAACACACTATGTAATAAAAATTGATAGTTTCATCCTATTTATTAAGTAATCTTATTACAAAGCGGATTTTAAGAACATGCAGCCACAATCTCTAGGACAGGGTAAGAACTTGGGACTTAGGAAAACCTAAACTGATGAAATGTCCCATAAACTGCCTTTTGGATACCTCTAGGAACAGTTTCAAATCAACCTAATCACATCTAGGCTGTATCTTATGAAGCTGTAATAGTGCTAGTGTACGATGCATAAGAATTAAGATAGAATGCAAAACAAGATGAAAAATGAGCTAAGAATTATCATCATATTTTGAAGGAACCTGGGATGCAGGGCGATTTGAGTCACAAGGTCTTATAACTAGCTCAACAGGCAACATCATGTTGCCACTCAATGTTTCTACAATATTTACATACTCCAAGACAATCAATAAATATCACCTAAATGAACTGAAAGTCCACTACCAAACCACTTAAATAGTTCACATTAGTTTTCAATCCAGTTACAATTACTTTTTTTTTTTTTTAAGTTTGGGAAAGGGAGAGGGTCAACTGGTGAGAAAATTCATGATGTTAATTCAAAGTCAGGCTTATGACCATAGTGAGAACCATCACTGGACATGAGTCAAGACCCATGAAAACACTTTTTTTGATTTTCACCATGTAGCTCTTTGGTAACCAAATCAACTCACTCACTTCAAAAAATATACCCAGATTTATATTCTCTAATTCAAATTATCCCTCCTACGTCCTACTCTATTTACTGTCTTCCTTGTATCATAATACTTTACACGGGGTGATATACTGCACCGTCATATCATGCATGTACATTTTCTCGAAAAGCATACGGTTTGCAAGGAAAGAAACTATGGCATCCAAACTGTGCAAAGTAGATACACACTAATACCTAACTTTGTATCTCAGAAGTATCTGATTCTCTTTACGAAAAGGGAAGAGATATCCACTGTTTCTTACACAAAGACACAACTAAACTCAATTAAAAACAAATGTATAGGGGGCACCTGGATGGCTCAGTCGATTAAGTGTCTGCCTTAGCCTCAGGTCACGATCCCAGTATCCGGTACCCTGCTCAGTGGGGAGCCTGCTGCTCCCTCTCCCTCTGCTGCTCCCCCTGCTCCTGCTTTCTCTCTCTCTCAAATAAATAAACAAAATCTTTTTTTTTAAAGATTTATTTATTTATTTGAGAGAGTGAGAATAAGAGAGAGTACATGAGAGGGGGGAGGGTTAGAGGGAGAAGCAGGCTCCTTGCCATCAGGGAGCCCGATGCGGGACTCGATCCAGGGACTCCAGGATCATGACCTGAGCCAAAGGCAGTCACTTAACCAACTGAGCCACCCAGGCGCCCAATAAACAAAATCTTTTAAAAAAACACCAATGTACAGAAATCATCCAGACTCCTTCAAAGACCTACAGAAAGCTCAGTATTCATTACTTTCAATTACAATGTACTTCAATTACACAATACTAAGTGCGTATCACTGAACACAAGTGAATAGAGGTGAAAAGCTTAGAGAAAGCATCACCATCATCAATCCCAACCAATAACTCTACCACTATCACCAGAGCAGCTGCCTCGATTTATTGAGCATTGACTATGTCCAAATGTTTTGAAAATATTCTCACATAATTCTCGTAATAACCCCATAAGGTATTTAATCCTTGATTTATAGATGAGGAGAGAGGAGTTAAGCTATTGACTGTGTCTTGTAAGTGGTGGATCTAGGATGTGAATCCAGTCCTGTCAGACTTCAAAGACTTAACAATCATTTGATCCTGCTTCCCAGTAAAGGGACTTCGGTAGTTGCTACATGTTTCTGTTGCTCTGTGACATGGGATAAGGGAATGAAGAGGGCAGGAAGATACAAATCACACAAATCTGAAAGGCCAGGATACTGAGCGGGAAGCTTTTTCTCCTTTCCTCATCAAGAGAAAGCTGAGTTCACAGTAGGTATTGAGAATGGACTCCAACCACAGCTCTCTGTCAACGTACTGGATCAGACCCTGAGTCCAAGACCACCAACGATCTTGTCTTACTCACTGCAAATGGCCAAAGCCAAATTTCTCTTTCTTGGGGTAATCTTAGCAAGTTTCACAGTAAGACAAATGCAGAATGCTAGGAACTCTGCTGTAAAAGAGAGTTGTCCTTTCACACCAACTTTCTCTTTTGCTTCTGCCTCCTGAATAACACTCTCTTGCTCACATTTTGGTTTGTCAAATTTTTCTTTCTCGAGTTATTTAATGAATTATTTCACTGTGAAACAGGGAAAAGTTCAGACACAGAAAATGATCCAGCAAGGCGAGTACGAACTACTCAGAGAGAATGTAAAGCCACCCTATAAATTGTTCCCTCTCTCTGTATACCTGGTGCCTCCGCTTCCTTGACCTTCAACCATGACCTCTACCATAGGCATT